CCAATCTCTAAGCTTTGTAAACAGAGACACCAGAGGAGGGGGATAAAAGAAATAAAAAGAGGAAAAGAAAATGAAGAATCAAGAGAATTTTGAAAATAAAATTATATAAAAGAAGCTCCCGGGGAAGAGAATCTTGTGTTTATCTCATCTCTTTGCTTCCGGGGGCACATGGCTGTGCATAAACTACTGGGTTCAGGAAGCAAATCAGGTGGAAAAAAGGATCAAGAAAACTTATAAACACCTTGTAAATAGATGTGCCTGGCCAATACATTTCCCATCGCTCATCATGGAAGAATGTTAGCAGCTGTCTCTGGTCAGATGCCCCAGGATCTTGGGGGCCTCAATCTAGAACACAAAAAATAATGGGAAAAATGGTAACAGAATCCTGGCTGGTCAGCAAACCCCAAAATAATACCACAAACCCCCTCAATTTCCAAAGACTGGTCTTTTGTGGTAGCTCTTAGCTCAGAATGCACAATTACAAAAATGAAATGTTCCAAATGTCCTATACACCCACAGCATTCTTTCTTTTATTTACTGTCTTGTGTGGAAAAATATACTTTGTCTCCTAAGTGTCCGTTTGCCAGGAAAGAAAAGCAGGTTTGGCCAGTAGAAAACCCGATCATCTTTATTCCTTCCTTCGTGTCCCTAGGAGATGAAGGAAAAGGTCAGAGCAGCTGTGGGCTCAGCTGAATCACCCTGGGCTGGCTTGCATGTTAGTTGCATGCTTCAAGGGGAGAATGTCTTTTGAGATGAAAGTAGGTCATGAGGCAGTGAAAGGGGAGTAAGACTTAATGGAGGAAATGAGAAGCAAGAGCTGGGTTACACCGGGGGCCTGGAGCCCTCGGCTTCTTCAGAAACAGTGACTGGAGAGGGGAAGGTGAGCGTGTCTCTGTGATCTCTCTCTCCATCTCCCGCTCTCTCAGCCCCTGCACAGCTCTCATTTTAATTGGTAAACAGAGCCAAGGAATCTGTGAAGGGAACCTGCAAGGACACACCTCCGCTTCCACACAAAGACAGCCAAAGGAGAAGGGTTTGAATTGTTTCCAGCAGGATTTAGATTAGGCATGAGGGAAATCTCTGTGAGCCAGTCAGCCCCTGGAATGCATCACTAAGGGAGGCAGAGGAATCCACTTCAGAGTTCTCCAGAGGACACCATAGAATGTTAATCTCCCCTTAATGGCTAATGTTTTGGTGTAATCAGAGGAGGAGATTTGGATGAACTCTCAAATTTCTTTCACTCCTGAGATCTGAACGTACAGGGCAGTAGAAGGAAGTATCAGTTGCCCTTGACATCTGTAGTCCCAAACCCTAGGGGATTCCCTTTAGGTCACCTGGGGTTCTTTGGGTACCTGCTTCCTCTCTCCTGCTACTAATGGTTAGGTTTGAGTCCTGGGGGCTTATGGCCCTGGTGGTGTGGTGAGGGTGGTGGGTTGTTGGGGAGAGAAGAATTATATTGAAAAAAAAAAAAAGAAGTAATTTACCAGAAAATGAGTCTAAGCCAAGACTTATAGGAAGTGTTGAAATTTGAGTGAGGGAAATGACAATAATCTATTAAGTATTCCAAGGGGTAGGAGCCATGCCAGAACTGGAAAGCAGAGTCAAGTCTCCCAAGCTGGATAGGAAGAAGATGTAAAGAAAGCATGTTAGGAAGCAAATTTTTCATTTATGAGGCTGGAGACTCCCACTCTCAATATACATATTTCTAAGGAGTTGAGGAAGGAGTAAATGAGTAAATGAAAAAATGCATCAACATGTTTTTATGAAAGTGAGCACCCAGGGATTTATAAATGAATATAGATTTTGTTTAACTGTGTCTTTACTGTAGCATCATTACATCCCTCTTAGACCATGTGCTTTTTCTCCTGAAAGGAGGTAGCTAGGGAATCAGATAAACTTGTACCTGGAATTGAAGGTGTTGGAAATGGGTGAATGAAGTTCATGTGTCTGAGAGTCATAGACTGGCCCTCAGTGAAGATCTTAACCGTGGATCTGATGGGAAAAATCATCATCCAAGGTACATACAACTGGATGACTTAGGCCACTTGGAGGTCCACAGCTTAGTAGACTATAACTGAATCTTCATTGCAAATATGTTTGTCTGTACAGCACTTGTCTTAGTCTGTTTTCTGCTGTTATAATAAAATACCACAGACTGGGCAGTTTATAAACAATAGAAGTCTAAGTGGCTTATATTTCTGGAGACTGGAAAGTCTGAGATGAAGGAGGCCCATCTCATGTGTCATAACAAGGTAGCAGACATCACATGGCAAGAAAGTGTGTAAGAGAGAGGAAAAGGGTCCTAATTGTCCCTTCCATGACAGACCTACTCTCATCATCATAAAAGCCTTAGTTAATTTACAAAGACTTACATACCTCTTAACAAATTTACTTCTGAATACCATCGCTATGACACTTAAAATTCCACATGAGTTTTGAAGGGTGTATCAACACCCTTTAATTCTTTTCTCCAGAGCAAATTTGCAACATGAACATAACTCATTTGGTAGAATCAATTTGTATGTTTATATGCCAGGGCATGGGCTAACCAACATTAGTTTTCCAGCTTTTGAGTGTAGAAGTGGCTAGTTTTCCCTTTCCTCATTTTTTATAGTGACATTGATTCGACGTTGTCTTGCGTACCAAGAACCAGGCTTTGGAACAGGAAATTGAAGATGAATATGATTGGTTCCTGCTCCCATAGTAATCAATTCAAGAAAAACCATCAGCCTCCACCAAGCTTCTGCGTCATAGAACCTTCATGGAGAATAAGATGGGATGAAGGAACCATTGGTAAGCACTGTGATCCCAGGCATCACTTTTTTTTTTTTTGGAGTAAAAAGACACTGATGTGATAAGATGTTGGCAACAAAAGCAAGTGGAAGTCATAAACTTTGGAGAAGATTGCTTTACATACCGTAGCATTTGCTTTCCTTTCCACAAATAGAAAGGTAAGGCAGCTGGATTAGAGAATTTAAGCAGAACACTTGATCCTCCATTATTCTCTAGGACAAAGAACAAGGAAAGAGTAAAACAAGCCAAAACTATGGCAAGCAAGATGCTCTGATCTTCCAGACAAATGTTCAGCACATGGGTTTCCTTCCTTGATGCTTCTCATCAGAATTTCTGTAAGGCAAGATGTGCTGAGATTTCCCTGCTCCTTGCCAGTAGTGGTGGAGTGGCATTATTGTTGCAGGAACAGACTATACAGGTGACCCAGGCCTAGGAGTTGTTGGCTTGGTGGTAATAGTCTGAATCTCGCCACCGACATTTCTAGGAAGGAATTTTGGCCTTGATGATTTTGGCTGTAAAAAGTTGGTAAGACAACCCTCCCTCTCCCTTTCTATCTTCATCTCCTTTGGGGCAGAGGAAAACCCCAGACAACAGCTTTCTGGTAACACAATAAGCTTCCCATAACCATGTGCGATAAATTATGACTACGACCCTTCTCTTTCTCTTCCTCTTTGTTTTTTTCCCTGAACAATATTCTAAGAGTCTACACAATCTCATAAGGGACTTGGCTGGCAATCAGCTGAAGATACTATTCCTTGGGCAGCAGTTCCAAGCAACTAGACTAATGTATTCCTTTTTGCTTAGTTTCTGCAAAATTGCATTATGGTGCTATGCAGCTGAGGGACTGGAAGAAGAAACCAATGCACAGAGAAAGCAACAGGCAAAACTGCCTAACCAAGCAGTGTGATTTCACTAGCTGTAAGTCACAGGACTTATACAGGTGGAGTAGAGTTACTGGTTTCTTGGAACGTGGCTTCTTTGTAAACCCTGGGACCTAGGGTCTTGGTTTCCAGTTGACCAAGAGGCAGCTGGGGCCCTGATGAGTCTCTATGGAGATAAAAGCTCTGGGCTGACTTCATTTTCTGCACTGTGTCTGCCTTTAATCCACCTTTGTTCTTGTGGAATCTGGTTGTGGTTGAGAATGGAGGGCATGCTTTACACAAATGTCTCTGGAAACAAAGCCAACCAAGCAGCTTGCCCAAGTGAACCAAAGAAATAAGACTTTGTGAAGGCCTTTTCTTCCTATATTGAAGCTATAAAAAAATGAACTTTCTTAACTCCAATACTATCTACCCATGTGATCTAGGGGCAAGTTTTGAGCTTTTATGCTTCCCTTTCTCCATTCCTCATAGGTAAGGGGATTTGGGAAAGCAAATAATTTCTGAGTTCTTTAATTGTTATTTAGAATGAGTCTGTGAAACAAAGGCTTAATTTGTTTGAATTACACTATTGGTAGATGAAAACATTTTTTCCTGTCTTCAGAAAAACAAATAAATCACTTTCTGCTTTGGGCACTTTCTTGACTTTCCTGACATTTAAGGCTTTGTAACTTCCTCTTGCTTTGTTTTCCGAGATAGTAGAGCCATTTCACCAAGAAATATTTGGCTAAAGATGAAATTTAGAACAAGCACATGTTCCACTCCTCTGAAGTTTGTTTCTATCAAGTACAGCATCATGAAAGTAGCTGGGAAAGGCCCTAGTCCACCACGGGACTTTGGGAATGTAAAGTGAAAGGACTCGTGAAAAGTTATCCAGATTCTCCGCCAATGTGGTCTATGAGGATAAGAATTGAGGGTGCCCTATTCTCCACCATGCCCCACCCTTTAATCCCTAAAATGGTGCTGGCCTGTGGTAGACCCTCATGAATATCTGTGGCATGAAGATATAAATAAATTAGGATATTGTGACAAATAACAGTTAATTTAAAATAAAAGTGTGTGATAACTCTTTTCAATAGCTTTGTCAAACATTTACATTTCTATTTTATTTATGTAAAGTTAAATACACTTTATTTTTAGTTAATCTACATGACATATTTTATTTTTTTCCCTAAACAACAATGCCTCCACTCTAAATAAATCTTGGTCAAAACAAATGAAGTGTTCAAGATGCCATCAGTCCCATTTGTCTAAAATCCTGGTGTTGTGTGGATGACAAGCAACAGCCAGTTATGACAAGTGATAGATCCAAGGCAACAGCCGAATCCATTAACATTTTTTCATTTCTAAACCATCCTTAAAGAATGTCATAAATGGGGTCACACCATCCTCACCATAGTCCAGGAGAGCAGCCATGCCATCTGGGTTCATGTTCACACACACACACATACACACACACACTGATAGTTTATTTTTTCCTCATTGAGTTTATTGGTAATTGATAAATAATCAATTAAAAGTTTAATTGATAACTAATTTTAGGTCTACAGTACAGTTACATTCATCATTGGGATCTTGTACCTTTACATAACAGGTCTTGGTTCTCATTTTTTCCCCAGTCCCTGCCCTCCTTTCACTCTTCCTCCCCGCCCCCTTTACAAACACTTCATTTCCATCTTTTCACTTTCTCATATTTTTTTCTTTTCCCTTATTACCTTTCCCCTACTTCTCACTTTTACTATTATAGTTTATTCACACCAGAGAAACTATTCAGTATTTACACATATGTGACATTTATTTCACTTAGGAGTATATTCTCAAAATGTATCCATTTTCCTATGAATGACTCTAATTTCTCATTATTTATGGCTGAGTAGTATTCCATTTTATAGAAAAAACACATCTTTATCCAGTCTCCAACGGATGGGCAAATGGGCTGTTTCCAAGTTTTAGCTATTACAAACTGTGCAGCTATAAACATAGGTGCTGATATATTATTGTAAATATGATTCTTTTAATTCTTTTGGAAAGATACCCAGCAGAGAGATGGCTGGGTCAAATGGAACCTCTAGTCCCAGCTCTTTGAGGTATCTCCATATTGATTTCCACAGTGGTTGCACCAGTCTGCCCTCCCACCAACAATGGAGAAGGGTTCCTTTCTTCCCACAACACTGCCAATATTTATTATTGGTTGATTTCTCTTTCTTTATTGACTTTATTGGTACATTCTAGGTATATACAGTACAGTTCCATTGCAGCCATTCTTTCTGGGTGAGGTGAAATCTCAGTGTTGTTTTCATCTGCGTTTCTCAAACAACAGTGATGTGGAACATTTTTTCATATATTTATTTGCTACTTTTACTTCTTTGTCTGAGAAATGTCTGTTCATTTCAGATGCCCATTTTTGAATCGGGTCCTTATATTTGGTGGGGGGCTGATTGTTTTGAGTTCTTTATATATACTAGATAATAGTCCTTTGTCTGAGGAGCAGCTGGTAAAATTTTTTTCCCACATAGTAGGTTTTCTCTTAGTTCTGTTGATGGTTTCTTTTGCATCACACTGATGAGATCACACTGATAGTTTTTGAAATTAGTAAGGATGTACTTGATTTGTTCTATAGCCCCTGTCATTAAGGGTTTTACTCTTTCTGGCCTTTGTTCTTCAAGTATGCCTTTGATTGATTTCATATAATCTTTGATGTGCTCCTTGTAGGCCTCTTTTGTGAAGCTGGTTTCCTGCATGTGATGGTTCCTAACAATATCAACACCAGTGAATACCGGGCTTTGGGTACCTTTGCCCTCCGGGCCTTCATCGGAGGCATTTCCACCAATGAGCGACTCATCAGTGTTACTCTCTGCTCTACTGACCATCCTGCCCTCCGCCTCCAGGCACAGCAACCCCGCCATCTCCGGGGTCTTGTAAATGTCGGAGAACATCTCATTGCGTCCGATGAGGTCCCGATACATAATCATGACGGCGGCCAAAGGGAGATGCTGTCGCATTAGTTTAGCAGGAACCCGGAGCTCAGAGTGAGTGCGGTGCAACTGGAGCAGAGCTCGTGGGGAGGGAGAGTGAGCGGAAAAAGTTTACATTTGTATTTTTAATTGATAAATAATAATTTTGCATAATTATGGGTACCGTATGAAGACCATGATGATACGTGATCACAGCTGCCTACTCTGATTGTTTCCTCATGTTGAAGCAGTGTCTCAAATTCCTCCACAGTCTCCATGAATTAGAAGACAGGCATCTAGTTGGAAAAAGTACTTCCCAGAAGCATCCAAGACCTTGAATTCTGAATTCTGATTCTGGTTGCCTTTTTTTTTTTTTTTTGCAGTACTGGTGATTATACCCACAGCCTACACAGTGAGCTACAACCTTAGCTTTTTTTAATCTTTTATTTTGAGACAGTATCTTGATAAGTTGCTAACATCCCCAGGCTGGGTTTAAACTTATGATCCTCCTGCCTCAGCCTCCCAGAGTATTGGGATTACAGGCCTTGCACCACCATGCTTGGTTACTTATTTTTTATTTTTATTTTTTTTTCCTGGCTAGCCATGTGGCTTTGAGTAGATCATCTGCTTCTTATGACCTTTGCTTTCTCATCTGTAAACACAAGGTTTAGATTTCTAAGACTCCTTCTAGCAATAGACATTTAAAGAGAAAGTGGAACATTATACACACGTGGGCATTTTTAGGTTAGAGTGTCACTGTCCAAAATGCCTCTGTTACTTTATTAACTCCATTCCTGTTTTGAACTTGGAAAGTTGGCAAAATGAGTGCAACTGTTTCAGAAGTTAATGTTGTATTGGGTCAACACAGCTAACAGACTCTGCCTAGAGAGTAGTACTTTCTGCCAGAAATGGGCTGGCTCAGGAAAACATTGTCCTAAAAAGGCCCTTTGAGAGTGTGACTCTCCTCACATCGCTTCCTCCCCGTAGCTCACTCTATCTCCAAAGACCAACCCAAAGAGAGGTTTAAAGTAGAAAGCAGCAGTAGCCTCTCATCTAAGAATTCCATGTAGAGTCATCTCTGCTGATATCCCGGTACTTCAATTTGAAAAGCTGATCTTTAGCTTTCTTTACTCTGAGTCTGAGAAAACTCACAAAGAAGATTTTATTCATACATTAATTCCCAGGTTACTTAATGAGTTGCCAGAAAGTGCTGTCTCTCTTGACTCACTCTCAATGTGTGCACTGGACTCCTTCCCTCTCATGCCCCCTTACTCTGTGTCACCATGCTGTTCTCACCCACTCAGCCATTATTCAACTCCACCTCCTTCCATTACAACTCTCCTTTTGGCCGTAGCACATGGAAACCTTGAGTGCATGTAGTTGACCTGTCCCAGAAAGGTTGAAAGCATAGTAATTTCCAAGACCTGATTCAATATGATTCATTTTGTCCAAGTTAATTAGGTTTACTTCATGCGGGGAAAGTGAAGGTAGAAAGAACAGAATCCTAATGAATTCTAAGATATGGACTTGGTCCTGATTACATTTCTTTAGAGACTGCCGACTACCTGGAGGATGCCGCATAATGACTAGGCTTTGTTACCTGAAATGTATCTATTATAGTCTTGCAGATGAAGATGGTGACACATTCATGTTTTCTAGTAGGTGTTACTCTTAAAGGCCTGGGTGGAAGCCTTGGAATCTTGATATTGTCAGAACTCTCACCACCATCAGGAACTAGAGCCCAAACCCTTAAATCTTGTCCAGTAGTGAGGATCCTACCACCCATTCCTCATCCAAGCTGTACAATTAGAGTAGCACCTACTCCTGTGTTCCCTCTCATCCATCAGGGGCCCTGTTAAAAGCTTCTTAGACCTCTTACTCTGTCTGCTCGTCTTTAACTTATGACTGATTATCATGTTCAGAAACTGCTCAAAGGCTCGGCTAAAATTGGTGAGTGCCATGTCCTAGTAGTGGAGGGTACTGTGAATCATAGGGGTAGAATCAGGACCAATTTCAACCCAGGAGGCCTAGAACAGTGTGTCTGTGTGAAGACTATGGAAGCAAATCCTTCTGGGACCACAATGCTCACCTTCGAGTTGGACAGGCGATGCAAGCACAGGGACAGAAGAATCAGCCTTGAGGTTAGTAGTAGGATGGGTGTACTGCAAAACAGCTCATGCAAGGATGAGTAACCCAGAGTCAGAGGTGACAGCTGAAATCATGGACAAGGGTAACAGATGTTCTCTTATGAAGCATCTAGTACATGGGCAAGTGAAAGCTTTAAAGAGGCCATAAAACTGGACTTGCATATTCTTTGAGTGTTGCTTTGATGTGGGACTGAATGTCCTTATAGCACCTGTAGATGTCACCTGATCTCAGAGAGGGGCCCATTCAAGCTCCTTTCATTGCAGTGTATTGAGCTGAGGCAGGCTAACATTTGACTTACTTCAGACAGACCACACATTCGGTTTGAATTTGTTTCACTTTTTAGGAAACAAAATCTAAGGTGATGGTTGAAAACCCCAATGAAGTTTTGATATGACTGTGTGAACTGATAAAAGCAGTAAGAAAAGTAGATTTCTAGGTTTTTATCTCTCTTTTATAAGAGTAGATTATTGTAAAAATTCAAACACATTCTAAAAATTCCAAATTGTTTCTGAAAACAAACATTTTCTTTATCCCCTGGGAAAGTACTAACAGGAGCATGTCTCTTGTTGACATTCAGTCTGTTTGTTTTCCACTACTGTTCTAGTACATATTTGGCAAACTGCCCTGTCCAAATAGGTACTCCGTGTTGGTTGAATGAATGATTCACTAAATTTATTTTTAGTGTAATGGATTCATCGTGGGCACTGATGTCAGGCGTTAATTTATACTCTTTACTCACAGACATGTGAAGCACAGTTTAGAAGTTTACTGCCAACTCACTCTTCCAGCAGAGCTCGGGGTAGAGCTTTTGAAAATCATGTCCAATTCCATGGAAAAGGGAAATTGAAGGCTATTTCTATTCTACCTCTCTTTTCACAGGTGAAATTCACAATGGGTCTCTGATGCAAAGGGCCAGTCTGGCCTCTAAAATATTGTAAGAGTACCCTGAAATTGACCTTTTCCTTCTGAAAGAAAGGGGTGAGAAGGGAAGCGCTATCTCTCCTTACACACTGATTCATTTGGGAGAAACAGAAGGACGTCCTAAGAGAGCGGAGAAATACAGAAGAGAAGATCTACATAGGTATGCCACCATTTGTGACCTGTTTTTGTATTTACTGTTTCTTTTAACTCTTAAAACAATACTTTAGATGCTATTGTTATCCTTGTTTTACAGATGAAGATATCGAGGCATAAGAATATAAGCCTGGTCGTGGTGGAATCTGAACCCAGATCTAATTGTTCAAACTTTTAAGCTGGTGCTTTTTAAGACCTTATCCTTTCCTTGTACACATGGCAAAGGCACAGCCACCTGCAGGCGCATGAGCTCCTATCCATGAATCAGAGTGGGAGGGAGGCTTGACGGAGAATCTGTCTTTAAAATGACGGAGGCTGCACATTTCCTATTTTAGTTGATAGCATCACCTTGTGGATGAAAATACATCTGGTGTGTGTTTTTATTTGTAAATATATGTTTACTCTGCCGATTAGGGATAATGAGCCAACCTGAGTTGTCAGTCAGATTTGTTCAGGGGTTGAAATTTCTTTTTCAGAGTTTATTTTTTAGTATTCAGCAGTTAAAGAGTGATAAGATGATAATACTTAGCTGATGAATGAGCAGACTGAAAGATAGCTTGTTTCTGGCCACCTTGATCAGAACTTAGTGCAATTTTGCTGGCCTAATTAATATTTTTTTGAAGAATGGGAATTAGGATTTATAGCATTTGTGGCTCTGTGGTAAGAAGTGAAAGGGCAAAGTGCAGCAGCAACTTAGGAGAATCTCACTGTCTAAACAAAAGGGACAGAGCCTCAAGTCTAGAGACTAAAGGTGTAACGTTTGGCCATTGCACCTTTGAGTAATTTTCAAGTTCTTACCTCAGTTTCTTTATCTCTCATATAGGCCCAACCACATGGATGATGATTAAATGCCTTGCAACATGGGTCTATGTATTTTAAAAATTTAAAAGAATCCAGTCCTGCAGTAAATGACAAGGAAGGAAAACTCCAAGGTGGTAATCTATCCACAGAGTCCACACTCTTCAAGCAACAGATTTTGACATACTTTAGCAGAAATCTTAGCCAACCTGGCTTCTTTTCTCAATGCAGTTTTTGGTAGATAAATAGGTTTATCAAAAATATTTTTATAGTGGAAAATGGTATCCTAATTCCCACCTCCCCAAAACGTTTCTTAAATGATAATATAAAACTAACTTAACAAAATAAGGGAAATTTGTCCTCTCTGGGGGTGATTATTTGACAGGGAACCTGGCAGTCTGTACTATATTACTGGTGTTGCTTTGATTAAACATTACTTTCAGAAACTTATTGGGAAAAGTTTGACTTTTTTGATCTTCAATTTCCCTTTTTCTTATACAGGAAAGCCTTACTGGGCAATCTATGAATAGTCAGGATGGATTTTAAACAAAGTGTCGTGTGCACGGCGTCTGAAAAGAGGTGGCCTGCTGAACTCGACCGCCTGCCTCCCTCACCCGCCCCCAGCCCACGCCTCACAGCCGGAGGTCTCTAGGGCAAACTCTCAGTTTAAATTTCCCGGCTTTCTGTCAAGTTGTGTCAAAGTCTTAGTCACCTCCTCCCACTGACTGTGGTGGCTTTGTTGTTTCTTCCCCTCCATTTGCTACTTGTTAGCCTCCGTGTACTGTGTCGGCACACTTACAGGAGGCAGAGCGCTGATGACAGATGGTCGGCCGAGCGGGGGGGCGCTGGGGCTTGGGCTGCCGTGGCACCCTGCCAGTGGGATATGCCTCTCCCCTGCAACGAGCCGTCCAGAGCGCTCCCTGCAGCCTTGTGTGGGTGGCTGGGTTCTGTGGGCGTGTTTGTGTGTGCCTTGCACACGTGGCATGTTTTATTGTTGT